TTCTCAATGAGTGTTGTTTCCTCACTAGAACATTGAACAGGGCAAGTTGAAGACACACCCGGTCTTGGTTGGGGATGATGGACTGGCAGGTGTTATCCAGGGATTAAAAGACCTTCAAGACGGAAAGGTTCGCTCGGGCAAGCTAGTCTACCAGGTTGGGGATACTCCTTAGATGACAAGATGTATCGTGCAAGGAAGGTCACGCTGGTCCACGGACGGGACAATCTATGCTGAGAAGGGGCCTCGTTTTGAAATGGAGAATACGTGAGTGTGTAGATGTCGTCTCCGTAGACCACAATCGCATGCCAGCTGTATATAGTGACCGGCTAAGATATAGTAATCAACGGCCCGAGTCATAATTTTCTACTAACTCCCAAAACTAGGCTTGAAGCGGTCGTCAAACAACCTTGCTAGCATGAAGATCATCAATCTCCCCTTGTGACAGTTCCAGTTCTCGAAGAATATCATCGGTATGTTCTCCAAGTAGTGGTGGCGCAGTTCGGATAGAAGCCGGTGTTCCACTGAACTTTACTGCTGGGCCTATTGCATGGATGTCAGAGACTGCCAGAGATTCCATACGACTAACAAAACCAAAAAGGTCTTCCACACTCACCGAGTAGCTTAAGCTGCCCTGACTTGGCAGCATCGAACGGCAACTGGTGAACCATTTCCGTCGCCTTTGTCTGTGGATGCTCAAAGACACGCTCCATCGTGTTAATAGGTGCGTATGGTAGTCCGCTCCCCTCAAATAACTCGATCCACTCGTCCGTTGACTTCGTTTTGAAGGCACGGTTCAGGACTGGGTAGAGCTCGTCACGATTTTTGACACGATCAGCGTTGGTGGTGAACCTGGGATCGTTGGCCAGATCGGCCAAGCCGAGCTGCTTGCAGAGGATCCTGAACTGGCTGTCGTTGGTTGCTCCGCAGACAAAATATAGGTCCTTGGTCTTGAATGCGTCGTAAGGGACCACACTGGGATGCTGTGTTCCCCAGCGCTCTGCTTCCTGGCCCAGATTCAACCAAGCCAATGCGACATTGGTAAGGAGGGCGACCTGTGTTTCGTACAAGGAAGCCTTTACCATTTGTCCTTTGCCGGTTATCTCTCGCGCGTACAAGGCTGCAAGAATGGCCCCGTGAGTAAATAATCCTGTGCACATATCTGTAAGACCGAGACCAGGCCTCACAGGAGGGCCCCCACGTTCCCCCGTTAAATGCAAGAGACCAGCTTCAGCACCAGCGATCATATCATATCCTGCTCGTTTCGAGAATGGCCCGACGGATCCATAACCTGTCTGGGTTAGCTATTCCCCTGCTTGCTAAAACGAAAACGCTGGCAGGTGCTCTCACCGGAGACGCTGGCGTGAATGATTCGAGGGTTGATTGTTGACAGTACATCGTACCCGAGCCCCAGCCGGTCCAATGCTCCCGGGCGGAAGTTATCCACGCTGCAATAAAGGAGTCAAAACTTCTGCATTGAAGAAGGAAAACAAGAACAAGAAAAAGGGGCATGGTTACACAACGTCGGCCTTTTTTGCAAGCTGCAGAAAGATATCTCGCCCCCTTGGGTCTTTCAGATTCAGGCATATCGATCGCTTGTTCCTGTTGACGGCCGCAAAATAGTTTGACACCGGGCCACTGTCGTCTTTCCAGGCGCTTTGTTCACCTGACACTTTCCAGTACCGGGTATCATCCTGTTCAATGTCAATATTCCAAATGAATTGCTGACGGAGAGCTATTACTCACGCCTTTACCGACATCTTCGACTTTGATGACCTCCGCACCGTAGTCTGCGAGAATTTGTGTACATAGGGGTGCCTGAGTGAGAGTCAGAGCATGGCCCAGGTAAGGGAGCCCGCGTGTACGGATTCTGCTCGCCCGACTTACAGCCAAGACTCGTGAAAGATCGAGAATTCTGACGCCCTTGAGAGGCCCTTCATTTTTGGTCTCTGGTAGAGTATTCAAGAATCTTGCGGGAGTCGGGCAGTTGCACGAGTTCGCCAGGAATGGATGCTTTCTTATGCTCGCAGTGCCCGACCACCGGGAGAACGAAGGACCTCGAAGTGGTTTCATGATCACTGTAGCTGGCTCGTCTTGGGAATGTGGCGTCAGGATATTTTTCTATTGTGCTGTCGATGGAGATGGAGGACGCTCGAAAGCTCGATACCCAGGCGACGTGGGGAACTTTAGCCAACCGATGCACCTTTTCTCCGCTCGGGGATCAGGTACACAGCCTCGAGACATTGGAATAGGAAAAGGCTCTGGAGACGGACATATCCCGAGGCTCAATTTGCGTGAAGAGATCGTCGTGTCATTGTACGAATTGGTTGTCTTTTCTCGGCCCGCAGCCTCTTCTGCCACTAGATCCTCCTCGGGTAGCGGTCGGCAAACCCCCTCAATATTCCTATTCGTGGTGGCTAAAGCGCGCATTTCGACCCCTTCACGGCCTTCACATCTGCTGCTTGTTAATCGTATCACTGAAGCAGTAGATGGCTACGCTACGTCAACCTTCCAGCTCTCTGCGATTGACCTGGCTCAACACCAGGCTGTCCGCCCATCAATCCCGCCAAAGGATTCAATTGCTGTCGAGACACCAAGTTCGCTGCTACTCCAAACCAGTCGGGGCATTTAGTGGAGGGCGTGATGTTCGGATTCTCGAAGTTGGGCCTCGCGATGGCCTTCAAAACATCAAGAATGTTGTCCCGACTGCGACGAAAGTAGAGCTCATCCGGCGGCTAGCAGCCACTGGCCTGCGAGATATTGAGGCGACCTCTTTTGTCTCCCCCAAATGGGTGCCTCAGCTGGCTGACGGCGCCGAAGTTATGCGGGAGATTCGACCTCTGATGACAGACGCCGAAAGGACGTTTCCCGTGCTGGCACCCAACACGAAGGGGTTGATAAATGCAAGCAAAAGCGACGCGAAAGAGGTCGTCGTGTTCGCGTCTGCCTCTCAAGCATTCAGCAAGGCTAATCAGAATTGTACCATCGATGAGGCACTTGCTCAGGCCGAGAGCGTCACAACGAAGGCTCGGGAAAGCTCGATCTTGGTTCGAGGGTAAGAGCAATCTAGCCAAACAGATTGAAATTGACCACTCGATTATTCACTAACGAGTCCAACCATCCAGAGTGGTTTCATGCATCTTTGCCGACCCATATACCGGTCCAACTCAGCCACAAGAAGTCGAATATGTCGTCAGGCGTCTTCTCGACATGGGCTGTTACGAGGTCGCCCTAGGTGATACAACCGGGGTGGGAACGCCGTACGACACGCAAAAACTGCTCGAGTATCTCTTTGCACGGCACCCAGTATCGTTACTTGCAGGCCATTTCCACGACACTTACGGGCAGGCCGTGGCAAATGTTGTCAGGGCCTACGATATGGGTCTCCGGACGTTCGACAGTAGTGTCGCTGGCCTCGGTGGTTGTCCCTACGCCGTAGGAGCGAGAGGTAACCTCGCAACAGAAGACATTGTGTACCTGTTTGACAGGATGGGTGTGAAGACAGGCGTGAATCTAGACAAGCTCGTCGAGACTGGGGAATGGATTTCACGACAGCTGGGAATACCAAATGGCAGCCGTGCTGGTGCGGCTCTCAGTGCCAAATCTCGAGCCGGAACTCAACTACCATCATCTCCAGCAGCAAAAAGTTCCACCAGGAGAGACTGGACCACGATTGAAGATAATGGCAACTATCGGGTCGCCCGAAACGGCCCTGTTGTCAAGGTGACGCTCACGCGAGACCGAAACGGCAACGCACTCACCGGTCAAATGGTCGAAGCTTTAACCCAGCTCTACCGTGGCCTGGCTACGGACCACACCGTTTTTCATATCCTCCTGGCTTCCGAAGGTCGATTCTTCTGCACGGGTATGGACCTGAGCGGCGGGACAGAAACAAGCGACACCGCCAAAGAAGATGGGTATTATACCAAGGTATACGACCTCTTCCAGGCCATCGACGAAAGTCCGCAAACGACCATCGCGGTGGTCGATGGGCCTTGTTACGCTGGCGGTGTCGGCCTAAGCACCGTCTGCGACGTGCGGCTGGTCTCATCCCGAGCACGATGGACACTGAGCGAAATCAAACTCGGCCTGGTACCGGCAATCATCTCGAAATTCGTGGTCCGAGAATGGGGTCCCTCGTTCGCACGGGAAGCGATCTTGAGTGGCAGGGAAGTCCACGCTGCCGAACTACACCGTATCGGTGCCGTTCACGGCCTAGCTAGCTCGTCCGATGAATTGGAGGAATTGGTGGAAAAATACTTGGACCAACTGCGACGTGCAGCCCCGCGAGCAGCTACCGCATGTAAGGACTTGGTCAAGGTTGCGTGGGCACACCCTCAAACGGACATACAGGAAAATGTGATCCGGACCAAATTTGCACAAATGATGCGGCCCGGCTCTGAAGGTCGGCACGGTATCGAACAGTTCCAAAGGAAAACCAAGGGAGGAGTTGACTGGGTCAAGTTCTGGGATACCTAAATCAGTTCTTCGGGCCGAGGTGAACCAAGAGAACTGTATCACGGGCGAAGTCCGGCCCCTGGCGTTGAAGTGCTTGAAGTCCCCCATCCGTCCCCACACTGAGCATGCTGGGGTAACCGTCGAGACACTGGGGGAATCCACACCACTAAACACATATGATTTTGAAACCGGCCCCACCTCCGGAGAGTCAAGATCAAGATTGATTGCGATATAAAAATTTACGTTCGTATACCATGGACGAACTCTCATTCATTCTGTGGAGCTTTTTTGGGGTGGTGTCGGGCCACTCGCGATATAGAATGATATGGGGGAGCGACGGCTGGCAACAACCTCTTGTTTCGACGGCATCAGTTCGGTCTCGACCGACAATAAGATACGCAGCCAGGCTGACTGCACGATCATCGGATAAGGGGGGTCACAGATACAGCTAAGTTCACCACATGTGGTATTTAAGTTGTCCCTTACACCCCTGTCTGGAAACGTTCCCTGATATCATTATCCTCATACCTTACACTGTGCAAATAATGTCGGCTAAACTTACCGATTACGATGCTATTGTCGTCGCGGCAGGTTTCGGTGGTATTCGGACACTATTGGAGCTTGTCCAGACCAGCCTGACCGTCAAGTGCTTTGAAGCTGGGTCGAATGTTGGCGGCGCATGGTACTGGAATCGGTATCTGGGGCTCGAACCGACAGCGAGGCCTGGGTATACAGCATGAATTTCGCGCCAGAGCTGAAGGAGGAATGGAATTATCGTGAACGCTATCCTTCACAGGATGATGTTAAACGATATTTGGGCCATATTACTGGTCAGTAAATTGTTCACCAAACAACCGTGTTTGATCCCACACCAGCTAACATTGGTCAAGTAGACCACTTTGATTTACGGAAGAAGATCGAGTTTGACACACGTATCGCGAGCGCGCATTACAGTGACAGCCAGAAAACTTGGACCATCACCATCACAGTAGCGTCGTCGACAACTTATCGTTACTTCGTACCCACCACAGGGGCTTTATCAGTTATCAAAGACCCTCCTTTCATTAGGCTCAAGTCATATACCGGCGAATAGTACTAAGCATCTCGGTAGCCTAATAAACCGATCGATTTTTAGGGTTAGCGGATCGCTATCACAGGCACCGGTACAACAGGAGTCCAGATCATCCCCAAGATTACCCCTATAGCGAAGGATTAACGGTGTTTCAGCGCACACTGAATTACGTCCTACCGGGTCGAAAATATACGTTTAATGAGTATCAAAAAGCTGCTATTAAGCAAAACTATAATACCACATGGAATCGCGTAAGATAACATCCCTTCGGTCCAGCTATAGTATTGTCAGGGAAGGTAGTAAAGGGCCTAGCTGATGCCGACAAGATCAGACAGATTCTGGACTCTAGCTGGCAATCTGGTGGCTTCCATTTCCAATTTGAGACCTTTAATGACCTTATTACGGACATAAGATCGAATGAAATTGCCTCTGAGTACCTACGAAAGAAGATTCGAGCTATCATCAAGGAACTAGAGACGGTAGAAGCCCTCTACCCTAAATACCCCTTCCTTTCTAAACGTCCACCATGTGGCCACTTCTACTACGAGACGTTTAATCGATCCAACGTTAAGCTAGTAGACGTCAGCCGTGATGATATAAATGTATTCGAAAACGGCATTCGTCTTGGCTCTGGGGTCGAATATGAGTTTAATATGATTATTTTTGCACTAGGATTCGATGCTGCCACTGGGGCGCTCAGTGAGTTCGAGGTGAAAGGCACTGGAGGTAAAGTCCTGAAGGATTACTGGGAAAGGAGGCTTGAAACATTTGCCGGAGCTCTCGTCCCGGGCTTTCCCAACATATTCATCGTCTGTGGCCCATATGTGCCATTTGGAAACATGCCAGTTGTCTAAGAGATAGAAGTGAACTGGATCGGGAAGACCATTCGCCATATGGAAGAAAATAAACTCGATACCATTGACGTGTCTGAGAAGGCTTCAGATACGTGGTCTTATCACCTACGAGAAGCTTTCAAAGCCACATTGTTTGAAGAATCAGCCAAGGTAGTAAAAGCATGGTTTGTGGGAGCCAACATTCCTGGTAAGACTATTGATCCTTTGTTTTACTTTGGCGGGGTTCCGACCTGGGCTTCGTGGCTCGACAAAGAGACCAAGACAGGATGGGAAAGCATGAAGTTTTCGCCTTCCGTGGCTACTGACGTCGAAGGGTAAGAAGCCCCGATCCACTCTGGAGGCCAAATAGCACTCGGTTCGCCGTCAGTTGCAGCATGATCATGCTCGGATGAATCGAAAGACGAATGTTAGCGATGGCAGGTCTTCAATTCTATACACATCCTTTGGTAGTTACTGTCTCACTATGAGTTTTAGAAAGGCTTACTATAGAGACGCCAGTCCCAAAGAAACATTGTGAGCGTCGATTTGCTTCTCCTCATGGGAATCTCGTTCACTTGGTGAGCACAATTCGCCCCGATGCTTTTCCCGCCTTCAACAAGTCCATCGCCTCATTCACCGAGTCCCAAGGCATCTTCTGAATCGGCACAGCGGGCAGTTTCCCTTCTTTTGCAATCTTCACGATGCTCCGGAGCTCGTCCAAGCTTCCGGTGATATTAGAATAAATGGCCAGGCCTTTGAAAATGTTCGCTACGAGAGACAACTCAAGCGAGCCTCCCATTACACCGACTTGGACCCATCTAGCTCCTTTACCAACCAGATCGTTGACCATGCGTGCAGTAGCCGTGTTGTTCACAAAATCAATAACTGCAGTGACGGGCCCGTTAGTGGCAGCGAGAATGTCTTCAGCTGCAGAAGGACCAGAGGTGTTGACGGTCTTTGTCGCACCGGCTGCAGCGGCCGCAGCTAGTTTATCGTCACTGATGTCCGCACTAACGATGAACTCATGGCCGAATGACTTCAAGACCGATATTGCTGCCAGTCCTAGCCCTCCCGCACCAACCAGGAGGACTGGCTCATCCGGTGGGAGAGGCATTAGCTTATTGACGGAGCTTAATGTTGTGATTCCAGAGCAGCCATATGTACAGGCCACCATCGGGTCGAGGTTTCCTAGGTCGATGAGGAATTTCGGATGGGGGACCAGCACATACTCGGCAAACCCGCCGTTCTGAAGGACTCCGAGTGCTCTTTGTCCGGCGCATAGATTGTACTTCTCCTGGAGACAGCGCCCACAAGTACCACAACCAATCCATGGATAGACAATGTAGCGTTGCCCTATCACGATGGAATCGACTTCAGGTCCAACTGCAGCTGCCTCTCCTAGTATTTCATGGCCCAAGGCAACGGGCAGCTCGATACCACGCTGTTTAACATAAAAGCGCTTTCCTCCCCCCATATCATAGAATCCTTCAGCGGTATGGAGGTCCGAGTGACAAACACCGACATGGGTGGTTTTGACCAATACTTCCGTCCCCTTGGGAGTTGGGATGGTTTGGCGAAGCTTCTTCAAAGGGGTATCCCATTCTGTCAAAGCCCAGATGTCCATTTGGTCCATTTGGTCCGCCATTGGTAGTCGTTTGAACGGCGTACAGTGTGAAAGGTCTGAATGCCGGAGGAGCAGCGACATGTACGAAGTTCTCGGTATAATAAAGGAACCCCCGCTCGTGAGGAGGAGGAAGAATTGTCGGCTTGGTCCGAGGTCAAGTTGCAATCAGTCTGAGGCCGGGTGCAAGTGGGTCCACCGGCGACCGCCTGCTGGGTCATCGGCAAATGCCAGCACGTAAAACGTCGGCGCTCGTTCTCCATCGGGCCGAGGTGGATCCGCTGGGTAAGGAAGGGGTTTAAGTGTCTGTGAATACCTCCTTTCCGACCGAGGCCATCGTACCAGTGGGATCAAACAGTATCGTAGCAATGGATAAGACTGTCCTGGATCCGAAGAGCTACACCAAGCTCTTTTTGAACAGCGAATACGTCGCGGCCAAGGCCACAGAGACGTACAGCCTCAAAAACCCAAAGGATAACACTGTTGTGGTCGAGAACATTCCAATCGCCGGCCCTGAAGACGTCGACGCAGCAGTCAAATACGCAGAAGAGGCTTTCCAGGGACCATGGAGTCGATTTACGGCCATTCAACGTACCGAATGTTTTCTCAAATTGGCTACACTGCTCGACGAGGAGCTCATGCCGATTCTCACCTTGGACTCCCTCACCTCTGGAATTCCAGTCTCCTTAGCCCCAGTTCGTGAGCGAAATTATATCAGAAACTGTCTGCTGTATTATGCAGGATGGACAGATAAGCAGAGGGGTGACTATTTTCCCGCCGATGACGGTAAGCGAGTCTCGACTACATTCTCTTTTGGGAGCCCAGAACTGTACTCACTACTATATCAGGTTTTGTCAAGATTGTCCGGCACGAGCCACTTGGGGTCTGTGCTGCCATCAACCCCTTTAATGCACCGGTAGCAACCTTTTTCCTCAAGGCTGCTCCGGCACTGGCCACTGGAAATGTCTTGATTGTGAAACCCAGCGAAAAGACACCCTTGGGGACATTGGCTGTGGCAGCTCTCTTCGAAAAAGCAGGCTTTCCTCCTGGGGTTGTCCAAGTTCTTACAGGTCCTGGATCTACTGGAGCCCTTCTTGCCGAACATATGAGGATCCGCAAGGTCAGTTTTACCGGCTCAGTCGCCACAGGCAGGAAAATTCAAGAGGCCGCCGCAAGAAGCAACTTGAAACGCGTCACCTTGGAGCTTGGAGGCAAGAGTCCAGCCGTGATCTTCGAGGATGCAAATCTCGAGAATGCGCTCACATGGACAATAAATGCTATCTTGACACGAAGTGGGCAGCTTTGCGTTGCCGCATCGCGGGTGTATGTCCAGAAGAGCATCGCGGACAAATTCATCCAAGAATATAAGAAAAGGATGGGAGATGCTGCGAACGACATGGGGGATCCTCAGGATCCAGCTGTCAAGTGGGGGCCAATGGTGGACGAGTCGCAGCTTGCGCGAGTTAAATCGATGGTGGAACGAGGAAAGACAGAGGCTGAATTGATAGTTGGAGGAGGCCAGCACGGAGAGACGGGATGCTATATGGAGCCCACCGTGTTCTTGAACCCCAGAGACGACGCGGAAATCTACCGACGGGAGATCTTTGGCCCAGTCAGTGTCATCAAGACATTTGAGACGGAGGAAGAAGTCCTCAGACTGGCTAACGATACAGAGTTTGGTTTGATGTCTGGTGTCTTCACTCGAGACATTACACGAGCTCTCCGAGTGTCCGCAGCTTTGGAGTCGGGTGTCGTCGGCATCAATTGTATCAGCCTGCAAAGCTTGCAAGCACCCTTTGGCGGCAAGAAACAGAGCGGCATTGGGCGTGAATTTGGAGAGTATGCGTTGAGATTGTTCACGGAGCCGAAGACCGTCCTGATCAACATGGCCGCATAAAAGATTCAAAACATGAAGATTGTGCTGAACAAGCATGTCACACAGGTGATTTGCGTCTATCGTGATGTGGATACAACCATGCATAGAATAAGCTGGACTAAAAAGTACCGTGTAGTATGATATATGAAACTTGTCAAGTCGTATGCTATCGTGTTCATTGTTGATACTGCCGCCATCACTGCGTGTCTTTCAGGTACAACACCACGGTCTGGATCATGTCTCTCCAGCACCCATGATATGGACTTGCCCGACTAGTCAATCTATTGGTGTGTAGTCTGAGAAAAGTTTCTCGTCTCAAGCGATGCAGGGTCCCAAAGTGTCAACCCGTTGCCCCATTGCGTGTCAAAGCTCACTCCAAGCTCGTCTGACAAATTGAAAAAGTCTGCAGAGCCTTCCATATCCAGGAAGCAGTCGAAGTCTTGTTGTATTCCGTCGCCCGTTCGCCCATCCCCACGAACCGCACATATATTGGGGTTAATGTTGTTCTGGTTGTCATCTGTATCACCTATGGCAATGTTATCCCCGGCGCCGACACTAACTTGATGTTGTCTCCAAGCACCTTCGTTGCATATGGTGGACGTTGTATCCTCATGACCTTGGGCCGCTCCTCGGAGATCCATCCGAGAAGGAGCTCTGCTTAGCTCCGAGTCGGCGGCTGAAATGGCTGTTGAGCCGCCGGTAGGCAGTGGGAATGCTGGGGGCGGGACATTGAACTGACATCCAAAATGCGAGAGATCCTTTCCGTTCTGGGACTTCACTCCAAGCATGCTTTCGCTTATCCTGATACGAGCCTCGGTTGGCTCAGGTCGAGAAGACACTTTGTTGGCGGCAGCTGTAAGAAAAGAGAACGCGAACGCGGCAGAGGAATATGTTTCGCCCAATTGATCCAAGGTCTGCGTGCAGAGACCGAACTTTCGTCTAGCACTTTGTTGGACATCCTTGTCGCCAACTGCCTGGTCGAGGACGTGGATGATGGCGGCGTGGAGCAGGCAGGTGATGGCAGTATTGGGAAGGAATCGAACCAAACCATGGGCATACAGGTTTGTATACAGGATTGTAATCTCATTAGCTGCTTCGTGAGTCTTCCTCCGTGAGAGATCTCGAATCTCCGGATCCAGGGCCAAGTTAGTAGCACTAGAGAGAATTTGGGGCCGATGTAAGATATTGATCGATGTCAAATACAAGCCCTTTAGAACTGCTTTGTGTACTTCCAAGGCTTGATCTGAGTTTCCTGGTGCGTGATCTGTCGGCAAACCATTGAAGCAATGCAGAGAACTCGCGTGGGTCTGGTACCATCTTTTCAAGCTCTGGTCGCATTGCAACAGATCTGACGCATTGCCGATGATGTATTCTGAAGCTCCGTCTAGCTTCGTTGTCTGAGTTATAGAGATATGATTCGACTTGCGGTATTGCATCTCAAGAATCGGGGTCAGGCAAACGCAAAGCTCAGCCATGCCAATATATAGTCTGGCTAACAATATCCGGGCAGCTTCATTTTTAAGGATAGGACATTGAGACCCAAGCATCTCGCTCACTCTGTCAGACAAGGGTCGTGTCTCCAAATCGGAGAGCCTCAACATGGGCTGGTCGAATTCGTCATGACGGATACGTGGGGGCCGGCGAAATGCAAGCGAGACCAACCGATCTCTGGTATAGCATGACCACCATAGGCGCTTCCAAAGCCGTCGCTCTAGCTGGTTGCGAGGAGGGTATGGAGGAGGTTCACAGTTGAGCCCGATGCGTTTGGACAGCGAAATAGCCACGCCCAGCCAGTACCAGACGTCCTTAGGATCATCCGGTGTTTCGTTCCAATACGTCATCAAGAGAGTGCTCTGGATCAAGGTGAGACGATCAAGCTCATAGTCCATATCACAAAGAAGCTTCGCCCGGTGATAGAAAGACCTGCGAGCATTCCGTCGGTCGTTATAGCCGTGAGCAGCTAGAGTCTTGGACGCGATGTACGGGGTCGCAGCAAACATGACAGACTGGAAGAGAAGAAGGCTGACCGTTTTAGTTGCTTCGCCCTTCTCGATCGTGTCGAGAAAGTCTTCCAGTTCAAGGACCGGCATGTACGGGTGTACATACTCGACGTAGCAGCGTAGCAGCTCGTTGCGCAAGCTCGTGGCAGGAATGATAAAGGCGCCTTTTGCCTGTAGGCGTTCGATGTCGTCCACGTCCAGCCGCGCTGAGGTCGTTCGAATATACTTTGGCAAAGTATCCTCTGATTCTCCGCGAGAACTCAGTCTGGGATCTGGTGAGGTGTGAGAAGGTTGCGATAAGAATAACCCGTTGTGAATGCCATTCCCTCCGCCACGAGGCCCGTTGGAAGGGTCAAATTCGTGAGAGCCGACATTGGACTGGTTTGCAACAGGAGATTCAGACGCAGCCAGGAACGTCCTGTCGCGACTATGCCTTGGTGGAGTGACAGCGAAGTTTGCACGTTCCTCATTGCGCCCATTGAGAACATACTGATCGATGGAAGGCGAAGAATGCTGTTTAGAGTGATCAGGCACATTTGTGGTCGCATGAGCCGCCGTCAAACCGCTGGAAAGACCGTTCAGACTGTCAAAGTTACTGTAATGGTGGGTGCGGTTTTGTTCAGCCAGGGTATCTGGCGTAGTCCGCTGCCGTCTTGACGTCTTCGTCGCGCGCATTTTGTGTCTCCGAAGTGACTCGACCACTTTGCATTCGACGCGATCAAGTCGGCAATTGGTACAGGGAAGTCTGTCGATAACATCACAACGAACTTTACGTGCCCTGCAGCTCAGGCAAGCTTTTGAAGCGCGACGTTTGGTACCATGGTGCACAGATGCTTGTGCTTGTGCTTGTTCCATGGTGGACTCTCTCTCTCTCTCTCTCTCTCTTTTGTCACTAGGCTCAGTTGTTTATGGGGCAACACTGGGATCGAAAAACTGATTGATATCCACAAGGTTTTGAGCCGAGGTGTCGGGCGTTATTGTCGTCCATCACGTCACCTACCTAGAGCTAACAAGGCACGTGCAAGGCAAGTGGCACCGAGATCACACTAGTCCACATTTGGAACAGTTGCACTACGAATTGAGTGACCTTGGTGGCCCCGACCCCATTGGTGCTTTCTTACCTTTCTGCCTACCTCGTACTCATGTTATTGTTGACAGTCCAAATGGCGGGCGCTTCAAAGACGCTCGGGAGGCGATCTAGCATGCCCTGAGAGGATCAACAGCCAGAGACGCCCGTCGCAGCTTTCGGTAAAGGTCTCTGAGTTCTTTTGCGAAGTGAAACTGTCAAACATAGCCTGCTGAAGGACGGAGGGTACAGAAAAATTCATCTAATATTTCAGCAACTGCTAACTGAGCTCTATCTTTGCCTCACTGAGATGGAAGGTATGCCATTCACTCAACAATTGACCATCCAAGTCTTTATTGTAGCCCTTTTGGTCCCTTGTAGCCCCTGTTTGGGGCTCTGCTTCGAAGCACAGTATCAAGGTGAGCCCCTGAGGCAGTCATGTCGCGGGCTGTTCCAACGATTGTTCATGAAGAAGAAAACGGGCTGCAACTTCGGGAAGAGATCTATAACACGTCCATCGCGACAAGAAATGTTATAGCTTTACAGCAAAACGCTCTCTTAGCCACCCTCCGTAACGATAGAAGAAGTGGGGCAGAGGAAGAAAAGCCACGCCTATGAAACCCAGGACGCTATTTCCCCAACCGAGTCCAAGTTCTGCATAAAGAGACGGCCCTGCCAATGGAACGAAAGCTGCAAAGAGAAGTCGGAGAATCACGTTCGCAGCCAACGCAGATGCAGCAGCCTCTGGGCCAAAAGCATCCACCAGGTAGAGCTGAGTCGGCATTATGACCCAGAGAAGGCCAAATCCAAAGAAGGAGGTGCCAATGATAGGCACGATCCAATGAGCCTGCTTTTCGGCTGCCCATCCATACCAGAAGATGCCGACGGGCACGGTGGGCATGACCCACATCATGGGCTTCAAGCGTCCTTCAGGTTTGGGTGAATCTCCAAGTGCCTTTTGCAGTTTGTCGCTCATGGTGGCAAACAGGGCGAGAGAGAGGATCATCCCAATTCCCACGCCAAGATATGACAGGCCGGATACGCCGGCGGAGAAATGGTATTGTTCCTCAAAGACCGTGGGAAACGTGGTGAACAGCAGAAAGAGGAGGCTGAAAAGGAACGCGCATAGGAGCGAAAGGAGTAGCACGATTGGCGACAGGATGAGAAGCTTTGTTGGTCGAGTAATTGCGCGGAGGAATAGCTGGCGGGGGGGCATGCCTTGGTCCATCTTGGACATCAGAGAAGCATTGCCAGTTTCTTTCCGGAGGCGAGCAGCTTTCCTCCCGAGAAGCACAGCGGCATTGGTCTCGCGGAGGAGAAAAATTGATATGATGAATGACACAGCTGCCTAAGTCGATCCGTCAGCGACTCGACAGTTGGAGGGATTCGGCCCTACACACTAGGATTGTGATGATCCAAAAAGTCCATCGCCAGCCGATTGATTCGGACACAAAGCCACCAACAATTGGGCCCAAGACCTTGCAGGACCGTCAGCATGACGACTGTTTACGTTAGATAGTGCAACCTACTGGTCCCAGAAGCGGTCCCACGAAGAAGACAGACATTACTCTCCCACGCTGAGCTGGTGGGACGACGTCGGCGACAGTTCCTCCACCAACTGTTAATGGGCCGGAAGAAGCACATCCAGCAAGAAATCGAAAACCGAGAAACATGCCCGTTGTCTTGCTCAGAGCACATCCGATGATGAAGCCAATGTAAAGAATATTGCAGATGTGGTAGATCGCAAGGCGCCCGTATAGTTCCGACAGTGGTGCAATGAACATTGGCCCAACAGCGAAGCCACAAAGGTAGATGGACACAGTGAGACTGACGATAGTAGGACTGATGATATGGAACTCCTTAGCGAGATCGGCAGCTCCAGGTGCAAACATTGTGGCGGCGAGGTTGCTGTGAGTATAGCAGTCAGTGCGCTGAGTACTTCGCCAAAGGAGCAGAGAAACCGCCTTACGCAGTGAGCAAAAAGGCGCTGGCGAGGACAACTTGAACCATGCGTTTCCACTCTGGCCAGTTCCGCGGGTTTTGAGGATCGTCTGAGCCATCCCAATCGATGATGTTCTCCTTCGTCGTTTGTTCAATCACTGTCTGGTCAAGCTCGCTAGGTCGCTCCCCATGATTGCTGCCTTCCGAAATGGCCAGCTTCTGGAGGGCGTCTTCCGGGTTGTCCGCCATGATCCGCTGTTGAGGGTGTTGCGAATCTGGAATATTGGCGCATGGTTATTCACTGGTGACAGGCTTCGCTTGCTATATATCTGAGGGCTGCGTACACGAGGCTTAGAGATGATGCTTTGGACGAGATACTAACTCCGCAAGTTAGACCATATTAACTCCGGAGCCAATCTGGAGATTTGCTCTCCGGAGCGTCAGAGGAGTGCGGAGGTTGACGCGGAGGGTCGGACGATCATACTATCTTTCCATTCCCCATGGCATTTTGGTTTGCTTCCACAGACATCTTTCTCTTCTTGAACCTGCTGTGAAATTGTTCGAGAGCGGACCAGAGGACAATCTCACTTTGGCCATCCCCGTTTACGAGGTTGATCTTGGAAGCGCACCGATCCAGCTACACCATGGCTGACAATGTCCAACGTCCGCGTCCGCCGCCAAATCGCCGCAGAGATAAAGTCCAGCTTTCCTGTGACCCTTGCAAACACCGCAAGTACGCGCTCAATAGCCATCACAAAGTCATGCATGCTTAACCTTTCCAGACTCAGATGTGACAGACAACACCCATGCGGAGCTTGCCTGAGACGTGGCCTGACCGACTCCTGCAATTATGCGACGACATCTTCTACGCCCGATGCTCAGCGACCCGTTCCTCCGCGTCAGCCCCTTAGCCTCCACGGCAGACTCTCTGAGTTGGAGAGCCTTGTCGTGTCGTTCATGAAGGGCCATTCACTCCCAAGTCCGCTTGCCCCGAAATCGCTGAGATCAAACTTGCTATCATCTGCAGATGTATCAAAGACATCCCAGGATGAATCTGCATCCAAAGCAGACCCCGGCACTCTAAAGCTGCACGGGTCTGGAAGCAGCTATGTCCAGAGTATTCATTGGGAGGCCATCCTTGCCAAAATCAGAGGACTGAAGGAAGACTTGGCCTCGAATGGCAAAGCCCCACCCGGCTCACACTTGTTCTATGGTCCGAACCGACATGCAACTCGAGATGAAATAATCGCTGCCGTTCCTCCTCGTCCTGTTGTTGATCGCCTCATGGCCCTTCACTTCGATTCCTACATTGTTACTCCGTGTCAGTACATACAAGCTTTCTTTCCGCTCTCAGGCGAACTGACTCTGTTCCGCAGATCTCATTCATAGCAAGAAGTTTCACCGAGAGGTACGGTCTCTTCTAACCTGCCCAATTACAAACAGCTGACGTCGGATTAGTACGAGGCCTTTTGGAATGATCCTTCTGCCACCTCCATCGCTTGGATCGGTCTCATGTTCTCCATGTTACATATTGCTGCGCAGTTGCGGACCTTCAACATTGATTCCACCGACGAAAGAGCCCAATCGCTCAAGACGGAATACCTTAGCATGAAGGATGTGTTCCGGGAGAAGTCCGTCCAGTGCCTGATTCTAGCCCGGTACACGACAGGGGGACCACATATCCTGGAAACCCTCATAATGATCCTTACTGGAGAATGTATACTCTCGAAAGATGGCGCTACAGATGGCTGGCTTTTGATCAGCATGATCCTTCATCTTGCAGTGCGGATGGGCTATCACCGGGACCCTGATCACTTTCCAGAAATACCTCCATTCGAAGGTGAGATGCGTAGGCGCATCTGGACTACAATCCTTCAGTTGGATATTAGTCTCTCTTTGGAAATGGGCCTTCCTCGAAGCGCTACAGATACGCACAGCGATACAAAACAACCGAGTAATCTACGCGACTGTGATTTTGATGAGGACACAACCGAGATGCCAATGCCGAGGCCGGAAACAGAATGGACCCCAGTGCTCCCTCTCATTGCACGAGGGCGACTGGTAACAGCTCTTGGATTGATCTGCGACCTCAACACCAATATCACTCCCCCTTCGTACGACGAGGTCATCAAGGTCGATGCACTTCTTGAAGACGTGCACAATCGTGTTATTTCGCCTATATTGTGCTGGGAAACTATGCCACATCCCATCACGGATAGCCCAAACCTGGTAATACAGAGGGTAAGCGTGCAAACGACCTACCATAAGTCACGCATCCTCCTGCACCGGAGAGCTTGGATCAGCTGCCCAGCTCAAAGGTCTCAGATTACGGACAAGGAGTCGGTGCGAATTTGCTTGGAATCCGCACTCAGGATTCTATCTTTTCAACAGATGCTTCACGAAGAATCCCAACCACTTGGTCGTTTGTGTCAGCTTAGATGGAAGGTCACCCATATTTTCAACCAAGATGTCCTCCTCGCAACGAGTATGCTTTGCCTCTACCTTCAAGACGTCGATAAATTTGAATTTCTTGAAACTTCAGGAGAGTCAAAGCGGTCGCCTAGGGTTGAAGAGATTCGACAACAACTAACGATCTCACTCAAGATCTGGCTTCAAATGAGTACTACATCACTACAAGCCAGAAAAGTGGTAAATGCTCTGAATATCGTGCTTGGAAATGCAGAAGCGCCAGTCGTGGATGGTAGCGTACCCGCTTCCTATGACCTTCTGATGGACTTTGACGATATACCTCTGAGTGAACTTAGCGAAACGTTTAACAATCATTGTAAGAAGTACAGTCCTTCAAGTCAACCATAACTAACAAAGCTTATCAGATTTTCCTTCTGGCTTTCCCTCTTCTCTTGCATTTTTCGACAAGGTGATGGAAACTCAAGGGATATGAATTTATGACTGTACAACTATACGTCAGGGGGGAACATCTAAGGGGTTTTACCTTAGGGTGGTGTCATGGGCTTAATAGTAGTAGGTCACGAAAGAAATGCTATAAATCAAATACATACGCATACACATACATACATACATACATACATACATACATACATACATACTGTACGAGGATCGGTTAAGGTTTAGCGTACACGTACAATAACGTATAGAGGCCTATCCAGTAGGTCGGTAGTCGTAAGAGGTTCCTTAATTAGGATTCAGCCGCTAGTACGTTTAATCTTTAGAGTTAACGTCTAGGTTATATTATAAGGTATCGTAGGCGGCGGAAGAGATTAGATAGTAGTAGCGGTAGTAGTAAGAGGAATATAATATAATAAAGACTTAGTTATTATCGACGCCGCGTAGAATGATTATCCTCGCCTCTCTACCTATCTTCTCCTTAGAGTTCTCTTAATAATACTTAACGGAAAACCTATATTATATCTTCTATATAGTTACGTAACTATACTATCCTTCTTTCGACCTATCTAGCCTATTATATCCCTCCCTTACCTACTTATAGGATACCCTCATCTAATAGATATATTTATATAGATACTTATAAACATTCCTTCTCCCGTACCTTACTTTAAGAAGGACTATCTCGATCTCCTTTATCGTTTACGTTACTTTCCGCTTATTTACTTTCTTCCTCCCGTACTCGCTTACTAACCGTAATTATATAAGTATTCTAGTCGTTAAGTTACTTTAAGAGAGCTTCGTCCGGAGTTAACTTCTCTATATACATTATATTCGTACTATAAGAAGGAGAGTCGGTCGTTATAGCGTTTTTCTAGTCTATCTAGAGGTATTTATAACGCGTAATAGTAAAACTAATATTCTAAATTAAATAAGCGTAGAATAATAAATCTACCTTAACGTTCTTTAAGGCTTCTAATCCTCTATCTATAATTACTCTAATATTAAGAATTAGGAATATACCGTAGTCGTATATATTTAGCTACTTTACGCTCTTAACGTAAATAACTTAATATTTACCGTTAAATTATAATATTAAGATAAAGTAAATAACTTTCTTAACGTCCGGATTAATTAAATCTCTTTTAAATATAGAGTTAACGTAGTAAATAATTCGCGTAGAACGGTTAATATAAATTAATTATTAATAGTTTTCTATATAGATTAGAATAAAAATATTAACTTATAGTTTATTAAGTTAAGATCTTAATATCTAGCTCTTATTCTTTATCTATTATCTTTATTAGTCCGCGAAGATAACTTAATATCCGTCGTTTAGAATATCCTTTCGATACGTAACGATATTAATATAAATAGCTTTAATCTTTAGCTAACTATCCTCTCTAGGACTAGACTTAATCTTTAGATACTATAGATCGTAGAGCTTAAAGTAAGTACCTCTATTATTATAGTTTTCTTTACGTAGATTAACTTAACCTCCGCCGTATAACTTATAGAAGTAGTTAAGAGCTTTACGAACTTTCTCTATACTAAAAATAGTCTTATCTTATTCTATATATTCTATACTTTATAGTCGTTCTAGAGTAGCGAAGTATTAAAGGGATTAAGTAGGAGAAACTATAGTAGGAAGAGCCTTAATAATCTTATCTATAGCGCTAACGACCGTAGTAGAACCGTAAATAACGACTTATATTACTTCTTCTCTAGTTAATATTACTTAATTAAGATTATTCTCTACGTAGTTATACTAATTAAGAATAATATTTTATATAAAGTAATATATAGACTACGGATTCTTAAGCGGTATACTTCTAATAATAGTAGTTTAAACGGGAAGATCCTTACTAGCGTTTCTTACTCCTCGACTATTAATAATAGATTCCTTTACGTCTTAAATAACGCGTTCGTTATTAGTTAAGTAAGTCCTCTTTAAAGTAGAGGTTATAAAAACTAAAGGAGTATATATCTAAATTAGAATCGATTAAGATCTTTTCCGTCTAATAATATACTAATTAATATAAGTATACCGTTCCTTTATCGCTTTATTAAGTCTTTTAAGTTATAACTATTATCTTTTTATTTTAACCTTAATATTCTTACGCTATCTTTCTCTTATTTTTATTATCTATTTACTATCCTTAGTAGATAATAGTAGAGGTCGAGACTTAAATATCTTAAGATTCTTAAATTAAGTCGTTTAAGGATTACTCGTTTAACTTTTCTTACGATTCTTTATACCGTTACGTAATTATATAGTATCGTCGCCGTTAAAACCTTCCGCTCTTAAAGTTCTAGAGGTATTAGAACTAGAAGATATAGATCTAATATTAGAAACTCTAGGCCTCTTATCTTTAATTATCTACTACCCTACTTAATAGTACCTATCGAAAGATACTAAGATTTTTTATACGATAGGTACTAAGGAAATAGAAAGTTAAATAACTCTTAGTACCTATCGTAAAATTCGCTCGTTTTTTCGGTTTTTACGATCCGCTAGTCGTATTATACTAGTATATACTCTTATTTTCTAGCTCCTTAGTCTAGTTTTACTATTATAGTCGTAACTCTACTCGAGTTAAACGATAGAAAGAAAAATATAGTATATCTCGCGAACTAGAAATTTTCGAAGTTCATTTTTTACGCTCGATCGATAGAGAAACTCTAGTTCTATCTATACCTTAATTTATAGAGTAATCGAAGTAAGGGTCGTAAAATTAGAGCGGAAACTATATAGCGTTATATACTTAGTTATAGACCGATTTAAGGTTTTATTACGTAGGGACTTAAAACCCTACCCCCGACCGTACGAGGCTAGCCTCGTTTTTTTCGAGGGTATAGTCTCTTTTTTCTAAGGAGTAGTCTTTTTTTTCGGAGCTTATTCTATCTTATATTTTTCGACTCTTTAGTCGGAGTTTTCGACCCTTAAGTCGGGAATTTAGAAGTACCTTTACCTTTATAAAATTTCGTATAGACGTCCCTCGAAAAATATAATCTAAGCCTACTCTAACCTATATACCTAGCTCCGAGCGCTTTAGCTCGAAAAAATTAAATATAGCTACTTACTACCGTTACCTATAGTACGAAGGACCTTTACCTCGGTTTTTTCGAAATATAACGGTTAGAACTCTTAGTCGGAAAAGACGAGTCGAGGATCGGGAAAACCGATTATAGTACGTACTCCTAGCCTTTAGCTATAAGAACCTTATATACTTCTTTAACGTCGAACTATATCTAAGTTAGAGAAAATCGAGGGATAGAGCGAGTTTTTCGAACTAACCTCCTAGTCCTCCGCCTTATCTACGTTATAGGTAAGTATTTTAACTAGCTAAGTCCGTATTAGTTTTTTTCGAGAGGGGGGTTAGGAAAACCGACCTCGAGGTAGTTAGCGCGGTACTAGCCGAGCGCTATAGCGAAGTCTCTACCCTTATTATCTTTCTCCTTCTACTCTTAGTTAGTTTTTTTCGAAGGGGGACTCGTTTTTTTCTTACCTTCTTCCCCTTAGGGTCGCGGAGGTATACGTCGAAAACTACTAAGAGCTCCTCTACCAACGCGTACTATTTTTTCGAGTTAGGGTTAGGGTTAGGGTTAGGGTTAGGGTTAGGGTTAGGGTTAGGGTTAGGGTTAGGGTTAGGGTTAGGGTTAGGGTTAGGGTTAGGGTTAGGG